TTTAGCAAAAAAATAACTTCACAGAGTGACTGTCTAGCATATAATTCCTCTGCAATTAATAACTAAAATTAATATGTTTTGAGTAATTTTCTTTTTTTTTTTTTTTTTTCCTAGCACTGTGGTCAGTGATCTTCCTGCATGTTACAGTTCACATCTTTAGTTACAACTCCTGTTTTATGCATTATTGTTCTTCTTTCTGTACACCTCTGACTTACAGCTACCAATGGGATAATCTGCAGAAGCAATTAAAATGTCTCTTACCCTATCTATGGAGGGAAGAGGAATAGTGGATGTACTGGCATTAGCTTGGCAACAGCTTCTTTGTTGATGCATGTCTTCTCCATTGCTTGCTGCCTTTGCAGCCGGCTTTTTTTTTTTTTTTTTTTTTGTTGAATGTGACTGAATATTTTTCCATTAAAATAAATAATAAATTCCATGTTAAGTGCGAGTGAGTCCAAGCTACTGAGTTTGGAACTGAACTCTTGATTAGAATTGTTTATAAATGCTTCAACAGCTCTGTGTTATCAAAATCTGTACATAGTGCAGACATGTATGCGTAAGCTGTACTTTGGACTGTTGAGTTTGGCTTTTAGTTGCAGTTGCTAATCAAGCAGAAGTACTGTTTAAAAAAATGGATTAACAGCTGTGAGGTTTGAAGCATCTACATCTCTAAGCATGCCCTACTCAGTCTGTCTCCCAGCCGTATCTCTCCACTCTATTGCAGTGTGATGCAGCTTACAACATACACGTAGATTGTCCGTCTTGCTTTGTATACAGCTTCTGCCAACTCTGCCTTTAACGTGCCTGCTCTGTTCCTCTGTAGCCCTTTCTGGCCTGGACCCTGATGTTTGCCTGATTTGTGGTGCTATGCTCAGGGTGCCTCAGGGATTTGAAAATTCCTGCACGTGTCTATAACAGTGTCTTGGTGGCAGAGATAGTGTGTTGCAGCAAGGCACTTTTATCCACCTTCAGCAGTAGCCTTACTCTAAGAGGTTATTTTCCAAGCCCCACCTCCCACCCTGTTCCAGCCTCAAGATGAATCTGATAATTCAGTTAGTTATTTTTTTACCAATTAGAGTGCAAATCGTAGTTGCAAAATTAATCAGTTTGCAGCCTTGGCTCTGGGAAGGGTAGAATTTCTGCTCAGAGCCTTTCTTGGGTATCTCAGAATAGTTCTGTCACATGGCTTGGCATCCAATCTGAAGTGTGGGAGATGCACGTTCTAAGTTCTTGCTTTGTCTGAATTGGGGTAGGTCATGGGACATCAGTTTCTTATATTCCCATGAGTGTGTGCATTAAGTCTTCAGTTGTCCTCTTTCTTCCTTTCACACAATATATATTTGTTTTCTGTAATTTAGAAAAAAGAGAGACTGATATACTACATAGCCTACAGTTACAGATTGCCTGGGAGTTTGAGATTCAAATTTGGGGTTGAATTGGGAAAAGCAGATGGTTTTTAAGTGAACGAGTCTCTCTTCTGATTTTCAGATGACTTAGATTTTGACCTGATGTGGAACTTAAATCCTCACACTACTTTTCTTTATTACACTAAATGGTAAAACATTCTTCTGCTTCCATCTGTCTCTCCTGTTTTTTTATCTACATTTCTAACCACCAGTTTGGGATGATTTTTGAATTTGTAGGTTTTGGCTGATAAGTAGCCATGAAATTCAGACTGATACCCTGTGCTAAATGAGACGTCTTGCTTAAAGACCATGGTTAATCCCATGACCAACAGGCATCTAATATGAAGGCTGTCTGTAATGGCATTTAGGATAATTTGATTCATATTTAATCTGTATTAGCAGCAACAAAAGTCAGGACAACTTTGATGCTTCTAGACACATTTTACTTCTGGTGGAAAAAAATGCATTTTCAGAAACATTAGATGTCTGAAGATCACTTCATTTTACAAGAAAACTACATATTCGATAAGGTTTCCTGTACAGAAACAGACTACCTCAGCAAACCAGTAAAATGTGAATGTGAAAGCTCTTTCAGCTTTCCCAAGGAGAATGTGCCTCAAGGTGTCTCCAGAAAATTGTATCAGATGCTGGAGCTCATGTGAAATTCTGTGTGTGTATTTTCAGTCCACTGAAGAACTGAACAAATACATTTAACACCATACAAAATTGTACGGTATGGCTTCATGATAATCTCTTGATTTGTCAAGGAATAACTGGGCGATGGAGGCCTTTCATGTGTTCTATATTGGTTCCCTGATTACTCACTCTCGTAGACCCTTTTTGTCCAGGAAGATTGAAAGAAACCGTGCTTCATAATTCTTTGCCCCCAAGGATTTGGGATGATCTGTATGGATCTCAAAAAGTTGTTGTTTGGAGGTATAGCTGTTAAAAAATCCCTAAACAATCAGAGAGAGAGATGAAGAAAGGGGACTCCATAAGTACCCCTGGAAAATAGAAAGATTGAATTAGTTTCTTTACAAGTGAGTTTGGAGGGTGAGTCGCAGGATATGAATACAGCATTGGGAACATTCCCGGATCTTTTCCACAATCCTTTTAATGTGGTCACAGATTCCTGACTGTGAGTGAAAATAAATTAGAATTAACTTCAGTGAGTGTCGAAAACATGGCGACTTTTAAATTTGTTTGGAAAAAGCATAAGGGCATGCTATGATTTTTTTTGTCTGTACTAATTAGTGATGACAAAGCATCAAGATGGCAAAGAATGAATCATTTGGATGTTCATGAAACAACATATTTTAGTGTCACTAACATGTGGCTTCTGGGAATTCTTGAAGTAATAGAATAAGGATCCAAGGAGTATCTTTGATGAAACAGATTTGTTTGAAGAGGACAGATATTCTTAATCCAGTTTCTTTTCTGATTAACATTAGTAGCCAAACTAGTCCTGTTGCTTCTTGAAGACTGTCAGTTATGTTAGCAATACGTAATATCTTAAAGGTCTTTTCCAACCTAAATGACTCTGTGATTCTATAATGGCTTTTATTATCAAAATAATCAGGCTGAATGACCTTTGTACTAAACTATGGAGCACCTTTGCATTCATATATGAAGTTAAATTTGATGTGAGTAGCAGCCACATATGTCTAGGAGGTAACCTATACCTGAATGATTAGGAGCAGATATCCAAAGGCTGTGCATTTTATGTTAAAAAGTTCTAATCAGAGCAGTTTTTTTTTTAACTCAATGGAAAGCCAGTAAGTTTTAGTAACTTTTGAAGAACTAAACTCAAAGATGACAGATTCTTCGCCTGATCCAAAACTAAACAAAATTTCTTTTTTTTTTTTTTTTTTTTTTTTTTTTTGTGTGTGTGTGTACTTACCCAGTTGCACTTTAGTTTCTGGAATTCATAGATTCCATTTAAGTAACTTTCTAGACTTGTAAGATTTTGGTTTGATACCACATAGTGTCTGAATTAAGTTATAGAGCCAAACAATATTTCTTAAAATTTAATTTCTTTAAATTTTAATTCATCATGTACATTCTTGATACTGCATGTAGTTAATTTTTGCTCCAGAAAACTGATGGTAGCTTTTAAAATGCAGATAAACTGTTATGTTAACCACTGACAATTTATTGAAAAAGTTTGGAGGAAAAAAAAAAAGCTTTGAAAAGAAAAGCAGAACAACAAAGCTACTAGAACCTTTGTTAAGATACTTTGGCCTTCTCCTCAACTGTGTACCACAGGTTCTTACAGGGTTTTTTAGGTGGGAGAAGGGAGGACTTGGAGTTGCTGTTGACAAAGCTTATGCCATTGAGACTCTCTTAGTGTTTAATACTGTTACTTCTGTAAAAAAATCTTCTTCTGGTATCTTGTACAAGAGTCTTTGCCTGAACTTACGGGGAGTAGATGAAAAATGTGGGACCTGAAAATTAAAAGACAAAAAGGCCAATAAATCATCCCTCAGATTTCTTGTGTAGAGATGAAGACCCACATAGATTGTTGTCTTGGAGAAGTAATTTGAAGACTGTACGTTGCTGTCATAAGCTGAAATCAGACTGAGCTTTGGAGACAGAAACAAAGAATAGAGCCTGGCCCATGTGATATGACCGGCCTCTTCCAATAGACTTCTTGCTTTCTGGATCAATAGCTCTCTGCAGAGTATAGTGTTGGAAACTCTCTGTAAATTATCTATCTTGGTAGCAGAGTTTTCTGTGAGTTTGGAAATGTCACGTGGCTCTCAGGAGCTTGCAGGTATCATACTCTTAATTGGAGGGTTTTCCTGTAGCTGTCTTCAGTTATTCCTTCAGCTGAAGAAATAATGTTGAATATCTTTTCAAAAGTAAACTTAGGCACTCATGTTGCTTTGTGTGTTGTTATGCATTTCAAGGAAATTTTGCAGAGAGGCAGAGTTTGCAAAGGTAAACTTCTGTTAATTGTTCATGCGAATTCATGCGCATGCTGTGATGGCAACTGTAGGGTTGTAGTGTGCTTTTAAAGCTGATTGTTACTGTTTAATCCAGGCAGTTGAGAGATCCCAAATGTCCCAGCTGTGGAAAAAGCTTCACTGAAAGTTTACAGGTTCTTACATGCTTCGATCATATTTCAGTCATTTTGAAATAGATTCAAAAGCATTGTTCTTGTGCTCACAGGGCTGTTTGTTTTCTTCCTGTACTTATAATTCAAAAATATTAAATTTAAAATTGCTAATTTTAGAAAGTAGGACATTATTCAAGCAAGTATTTTTTGAGAAAGTTGTCTGTTGACTTTGAGTCTGCTCTGACATTAAGCAGCTGACGGAGAACTGAGAGAGCCCCTGTTATTGATCTGAAACATGTGCCTCCATGAACTCTTCATGGGAAACTTTCCTTATGATCAGTCTGTGGTGGGGGAAAGGCTCAGTTCTTCAGGCAGTAAATCACTGCAAAGTGAGTAGAGCAGACTGGATGATCAGAATATTTGATTTGGAAAAATTGTCATTTTTACATAAATGTCAGATTTTTTAATTGCATTAAAATAAGGACATGATTGTGCCTGGCCTCTAATACCTGCATTTCTAAAAATGCTTTTGTTAGAACTTGCAAGAATCGTGCTGGGAGAAGGCAGGCTACTTCTTTGATCTTCCGGATTTCTTATCTTGGAAAGCCACAGGTGTCACTGCGAGGTATGTTAATTATAACGATATGATTTGGTTGTCTTCGTCTATTTTCTCCTGTATGTTTGTGCTTTAATTCATTTTGACTGGACATGCTGTTATGTACATCTGTCTGTAATTCAGCCTGCTCCAAAACATCTTGAACCTATCTCCTGCTTCCACTGTGCATTCCTGAACACAGTTGTTCCCGTGAGCAGTGTAATTCACAGATACAGTATGTTGCTACAACTGTCAGTTAATTGGTCTTGTACCCCATTTTGGAACATAAATATGATTGCTCTAGTTACTGTGAAATATGCTTCTAATAATTCATTGAAATCTGTTTTTGTTGACAAATTTATTGACTTTTTTGAGAAATGGAGGAAAACACTTCTTTGCCATGTGGGAGGGATCTGGTAAAATCTTGTTTAAAGTGTTCACTTCAGTATAAAACATGGCAGCTGTATTGCTCCCCAAAAGCATCCTAGAATAGTTGCTGAGCAGTTTAACAAACCCCTTCGAGAGAACCCCTTTAAAATCTTGATTAAAATGACCAGTACAAGTGAAGGCCAGTTGCAGATAAACAAGTCCTTGTGAAAACTGAGGTACAGTATTATTTATTTAAAATAAAGTCTTGTGGACTAATCACATTTTCACTTTTTAAAAAAGAAGAAAGCACAGATTAGCTGTGTGAGGACTTGCGAGGTGATAATTGAAAGCCAGTATCTCAAATCTTCCTTCTTTTGGACTTTCAATCACATTCTGCTGTACGCTGTTTAACAAACCCCTTCGAGAGAACCCCTTTAAAATCTTGATTAAAATGACCAGTACAAGTGAAGGCCAGTTGCAGATAAACAAGTCCTTGTGAAAACTGAGGTACAGTATTATTTATTTAAAATAAAGTCTTGTGGACTAATCACATTTTCACTTTTTAAAAAAGAAGAAAGCACAGATTAGCTGTGTGAGGACTTGCGAGGTGATAATTGAAAGCCAGTATCTCAAATCTTCCTTCTTTTGGACTTTCAATCACATTCTGCTGTACGCTGTTTAACTATGGGCTATGTAACAGAAGAACAACTCTCACCCCAAAGATCTTTCAGTCTAAGCAGTCCTGTCACCTGACCCAACTCTAACTTCAGGAGGATAAATCCCGGGCTCCCAGATGATATGGCATGCAGTGTCTCCATGTTGTGAAAGTGCTCAAGACTTCGATTTAGATAATTAACCCTTTGGTTAGAGGACTAGCTGAAGAATTGTGACTGCATTTTTCCCATAAACAGTATAAGAGTGGGACAGATCAAGTGCTCCTCAAATTTAGGCACAGCCATGTGTGAGAAATGTAGCCACCTATCCTGAAGAGAAACTTCTTGAGGTAGTTGGGGGATATGATGACCCAGAAAATATGTGTGACTAAATGTTGCTTTTAGTGTATTACATATTTTTGCAATTTGTCTACTAAAAGTTCTGTTTAATCGGACAGGAGAACATTTTCATCTGCTATTACATGTGGTAGGAGTGTCTTCATTCTACCATTCTATTCTTCATTCAAGTGAGAAGGGTACTTCTTACTTGGCTAGGGACCCTGGTTGGAACTCAGTTCCAAACACAGATTTAATTTGGCTTTGTGGCCAGATGGTGATTAATAGATGGGATAAAATGTGTGAGCAAATCATGAAATGTTCATCTTGTGCTAATGGTTGAAGAAGCTAAAATAGAATGTGGTCCGTGTGAGCTTGGAGTCAAATATTATTTGGAATTTATTTTTAAAGGAAGGGAAGTAATTTCAGAGAGAATGGTGATATATTAGAAAGAGAATTCTTATCTTGCCTGGTAGAGGGATCTCCGGCATTGATGAACAGAGTTCCCACTCTTCCCAGAGCCCTTTCTGATCCATAGCATGTTCTGCCTGTCTTATTTCTAAAAGTGGCAGCCATACTGTATAGAAGAAATCCCTCTCTCTGCCCTTCCCTCTCTTCATCTCTCAACCTCCAACCTAGTATAGCTTGTGAGAGCAGATGGAAAAGAAAAACAATGCCTTCCTGCAGACTTAAAAATGTAACTGTTACTATGATTAATTCCTTTAGCTGTTGGGAAATGAGTGATTGTATTGAAGCTGCAGAAGCAATGGATTGCTGCTAACAACTGATGCTGCAGTCGTGGGGAATCTAGATTCCTTTTACTTGTTCCTGAAAATTCCCATCTGCTGTGGTTTTCACAGAACTCTTGCTAGAGTTACACCATCCCGGTACTTGCTATTCCAGCATCGTGTTTGTCCGTCTGCTTGCTGCATGTACCTGCCAGTGGTTATAATCTCTGTGAAGTCTTTGGGGAAGGGCATGGGTTTTCTTGGGTATGTTATTAGTGCCCAGCACTGTGGGATCCTAATTCCATCTGTGAACTTCTGTTGCCATAAATATTATTAATAACAGTGCAAAAGCAAACAGATCGTATGAACTAATGATTGTATTCTCTAGTGCTCATCTAACCTGTACAAGAATACAGTCTGAATTCCTGAGATTAAATTTTTCAGCATCACCTGCAGCCTTTCTATGCAACGAAAACATATGGCAGGAGTTGGCAGGAGGTTTAAAAGGAAGTTTGGAGTGGGTATGTAGGAGCTTAGAGTATGACAGCTCCTGTCTACTGTCCCTCATGGATGCCTTAACTTAGGGGGCAGCCTTATTTGTGGGTGTGTGGAAGGGAAGAGAAGGATGGGGTAAAAGTAATACTGCGGATTTAGTGGTGTGGTGCTGTCAGCTGGTGTCAGGCTGTCGTGGCTTGCAGTGGATCTCAGGACTGTCTGAACTCAGTGAAGCTCAGGTTTTGCTGTGGAAGTAGGTCTGAAAGGGAGGGTACAGTGGTAATGACAGGTCCTTGCTCCTGCCTGGCTTTGGCTTTGTGTTCTTAGCTGTAGCCTGTAACTTTCTGGAGGTAAGGCAGAGAATTTCTATTTTAAAATAATAATAATAAAAAAAGCTGTGAAAGATTATACTCAAAAGTAGAGCTGACTGAATTTTTACTGGCAAGTTAATTTCCTTAGAAATGACATTTTGATTATTCAAAAACTTTTTGATTGTATTGATTGATGTTGTAAGGGAGAAAGGAGTGTTGGGAAAACAGTTTCTGGACAACGTCTTCCCCCACCCTTTGGCTGAGAGTCTTCTATTTTGGATAAAATAGTTCCTTGTGCATCATCTTTTGCTGCCTTAACGTGCTCCCCCAAACTAATTGCATTGTTTTAGCTCTAGTTGAATGTCTTAGAGTAACAAAGGAGCAAGAAAAAGACAGGAAAATAAGGACAAGAAATGTTTTGTTGGAATCAAACCTAATTTTTTTTTCCTTCCTCTGCTCTCCCCTGTGCACACCTGTTTCTTGGGAATTTCCTTGTAGTTTGGTGAAGTAAAGTAATTTGTCCTGCATATGCTCATAATACTGGGGAAGTATGAATTTATCAACTACAAGATTCTTACCACCTTTTCTCCCTTTGAGTACAAAGGAGCCTATTCATGGGGCAAGACACTGTGTTAGTCATTGTGAATCATACATAGCTTGGCCCTGATAAAAGAAAGATTTATTTTTTAAAAAATTTGTTTTGGTGATGGGGATTTTACCAAAATAAATGCAATTCCAAGGGCACTTTTGTAGGAAAGACTTCTGCACTCATTGAAACTATTACTCTTGCTTTGTTATTTTTTTAAGGGGCTCTTTAAAACATTTTCTATGTATTTAACATCTAAAAACTATGTATAGTTTTTTTGGCTTCAGGGAGATTATGCGGTGCACAAAGTTAAGTAGTGTGTGAGGTGGGGATTTGAAGTATTTGAAAAAGCAGTTCTTGATGTATTTCTAAGTATGGAATCATTTGTCTTTCACCTTTAATTCTGGTGGCTTGAACTACATTGTTGCCAAGTTTTTTCCAGTGGATGTATTATAAACAGCAAATTCTTCTTACCTGAAAGATGCAGACTCAAATGTATTCTGAGATTTTTTTTAGCTACTGTCTTTGAAACTGCTATATACCTCACTGAACAGCGTCCACCCATCAATTGCAAAGATAAATTCCAAACTGTTGAGTCCCATTGTTCTTGGAAGATTGTTGCCTGTAATATTCCATATTAAAAATAGTTATTTTTTTATTATTTTTCCTTTGGGTTGATGAAAGGCCATTGAATTTTTCTGAATGATCCAGATGGCTGACTATTCTGCAGTTAAAAAATGTTACTGACGGCTCATCAGTTAAAAAATTTAAAACTTCGGAACTTCCCTGCTCCTGCCCCCCAAGGTTGCAGCAATAAATATTGGTTTTGCCACTTCAATACTCAGTTGTCTTATTTCAGAAATGCTGTTGTGGAGAGGAAGAGAGCTGTTTTTTCACAGACACGTTAGCAATGCTTTTCAGAGGCTCAGCACTTTTACTCATGGTGAGCGTGACTCACTGCTCTCTTCCACCCACCCTCTATAACCTCTGCTATCTTTTCCTTTATATGGTATTTTGGATAAAGCTTTCTTAATAAAATCTGGTTTAGTGCAGGCTACTGTGTTATGGATGGAGAATTCTTATCAGAGATGCAATTTTATTGTATTTCTGAAGTCTTGTGAAGGATCATGTTCCAGATAAGAATATGGCTGAACTGTTACATTGGGTAGAATCCACACAGAGATTTCTCAAAGGTTGTGTGTATTAAAATCCAGTGTTCTGTTTCAGGGCCACTTTCAATCATAAGCAACTCGCTGGAAAATTAGCTAGTCTCTACTGGATTTACATGGTTTAAGATGAGCTGCAACCAAAGAGAGATTAAACCTGTGGAGGAGGATTTGGAAATTTAGGGAAGAATGTCAGGCTGACATTCTTGAGGTAGAGAGTGTCCAACATCATGCTATAAACCACCTCCAAAAATTACAAAAAAAAAATGGAACAAACTGAGTATTTGTGCAGAATATTTTTTTTTATATATATATATATATTACTACACTCTAGATATTTTAATATTTGGAGAAGGTAATGTGTTATCTAGTAGAGTCTTCATCTC